TGCGGGCTGCTCCCCCCATCTGCACCCACAAAATGCACCCCCGTGTTGCCACTGCGCCCCGCTGCAATGCCCACATGGCTACAAGGAGCGTGTTGAGCGCATTGCCGGGCTCTGCATGCACCCCTGGGTCCCAGTGCAACCCCACCGCCCACGCAGCCACATGCACCAATGCGTGTGTAAAGTGTGCACTGTGCTGATCGTGCCGTTCCATGTCCCAGTGCAACCCCACACAGCTAGGCCACACACAACCACGTGCACCAATGCAAGCAGTGCTCCAAATGCACCCCTTGTGCAACCCCATGCAGCTCTGCGCCCCACACCCCAGTGCATCCTGCACCCATGCAACCCCAGGCTCCAATGCAACCCCAAACTCCGCTGCAACCCCACCATGCAACCCGAGACCATCTGCGCAACCCCAAACCCCACTGCAGGCCCATGCCCCATGCAAGTTGGCGCAGCGCAGCGCGTGCAGTGCAGGGAGGAAGCGCCGCGGCCTCCTGCCACCCGGGGGAGGCCCCAGTGCAGAGCGGCGCCAGCGCCCGCAAACAGCCGCAGCAGGAAGCGCCTCTCCCTGTGCCCCGCTGCATCCTCGGGGGCTCCCACGCATCCGGGTGCCACATCCCATGCCCAGATCCAGTGTGTCCCATGTCCCATTCCCGTGGTGGAGCATTCTGTGTCCCAGGCCAGGCTGGAGCATCCCTTGTCCCATGGCCAGGTGGTGCATCCCATGTCCAGTCCCCAGGGTGCGAGTGTCCTGTGTCCCATTGCCAGCGTTGATGTCCCATGTCGCATTCCTCGGGAGAGCCCTCACTGGTGACACTTGACAGTCTGTGGGGACACCATGGTGTTGTTGGGAGCCATGGGGAGCTAGGGACATGACAGTGCTGCTGGGACCCAGAGGGTGTTGGTGCAAGGATGCACGCGGGTGTGCAAGGCCATACGTGTGTGCTGCATGGTGTGCAGGGCTTGGTCCCTAACTGGGGGTGTGCCACACGGGCAGGTTGTGCGTGCACATGGGTGCAGGCATGTGTGTGTGCCCATGGGGTCACATGCGTGCGCGTTCACGGGGGTGTGCAAACACACCGGGCGTGCGCATGCACAAAGGGGCTCGTGCACATGGAGTTTTGGGAAGGGGAAGTGCTCTCGTGCGAGGTGGGTGCTCACAGGTGCGTGTGCCCATGCAAAGGGGAGTGTCATTGCACCCCTCCGTGCACGCACGTGGCTGGCTGCATTGGTGCAGAGGTATGTACATGGGGTGCATGTGCAAACACGTGTGCACTTGATGCACGCGGAGCTCTGGGCACGTGCATGTGAGTGCATGCGTGTGCAAGCAGGAGGCTGCATTTCTGCATGCAGGGCAGCACAGGCCCACGGGGTCTGCGCGTGTGTGCACACCAGGGCAGGGGGGTGCTTGTGCAACAGTGTGCGTGTGCACAGGTGTGCGTGCACGTGTGCCTGTGCATTAGCACAGGTGACCACGCACAC